CTGGACACAATGTACATAATGGGTTTAGAAGATGGTAAACACAAAACATGATTTTTCTTTTTCTCATTTAATTAATTGACTTTTTTTTATATCTCAAGAGTTTGCAGAAGCTCGCAAATGGATAAGTGAATCACTTAACTTTAATATTAATCGCGACGTTAACCTTTTTGAAGTCACCATACGGGTATTAGGTGGTTTACTATCCACTTATCATTTAAGCGGTGATAAAATTTTTCTTAAAAAATCGGTAAATGCATGGAATAAATTGACTCGGATTTGTACTAAGAAAACTTTAATGGTATAATCACACTAGATTGAACTTACTAACCGTTTATTGCCGAGTTTTCTAACATTATCCGGTATACCTTATTCAGACGTCAACTTAGCTACCTTGACGGCACACGCTCCAAAATGGGAACCTGACAGCTCTACGAGTGAAGTTACTTCCCTTCAAATGGAGTTCCGGGACATAAGCCGCATCACAAATGTTTCATTATACGAAAGAGTAAGTAAATTCGTATTTAGAGAATGCTCGCCGCGACGGTGTACTATTTTTATAAACAACCTGCTAACGCATATATATATATATTGTTATTTTTAAAGGACGAGAAAGCAAAATCTTCTGCACGGTTTGCCAATTCTCTCCTAAAACACTCTAAAAACGCTATTATTCTAGGGCATCATTAGTGATTTGATGATTAAGTGAAATTGATGTATGTGCGCATTTAACGAAGATTTCGAAAAGCAAAAAAAGTGGTTTTCCATCTCGTTGCAAATTTCTATTTCTGCATTCGGTTAATTGTCCGATAATATCGATTTAAATTCTTAATTAAAGTGTTCTTAGTTAAAGTGTATTCATATAACATTAGAGGCCCGACTTTTATATGTTTGTCTATATTTCTCTTAGGTTGTCCAGCGAGTTAACGAAAAAGTTCACCTTTTAGAAAAGGATAAAGGTTTGGTACCAATTTTCATTAATGCCGATACTGGAAATTTTAGGAAATTCGCTACTATTTCTTTGGGAGCTCGCGGGGATTCCTATTATGAATACTTATTGAAGCAATGGATACAAACGGGCCGTAAGGAAAATGATTTGTAAGTCACATCAATTTTCAACTTTTCTTTCTATCAATATTTTTTCATCGAATCTTACTTACAAATTATGTGAAAATAGTCTGCTCACTGACTACCTTAGGTCGATAGATGGCATATTTTCTAAATTGTTGAAAAGAACACCAAAGGACAATCATGTCTACATTGGTGAACTGATCGATGGTAAAAATTTCAAACCAAAAATGGATCATTTAACTTGTTATCTTCCGGGTGCACTGCTATTGGGTCATCATTTCGGTTTACCTGATTCTCATATGCTTTTGGCGCGCGATTTACTTGATACATGCTATCAAACTTATATGAAGCAACCCACAAAATTGGCACCGGAAATATCTTACTTTGCTGTGGGCGCAAATGAGGATCTTGATATATACGTCAAACCTAATGATGCCCACAATCTCTTACGTCCCGAATTTATCGAAAGTTTATATTATTTTTATGCACTGACTGGCAATCACACATATCAGGATATGGGATGGATTATTTTTCAGGCGTTTGAAAGACATGCTAAAGTCACACATGGCTACACATCGATTGGTAATGTTAAAAATATTTTTAATACCAGACTGCGTGATTTGATGGAAACGTTTTGGCTGGGTGAGACGCTTAAGTATTTTTACTTATTATTTAGTGATAATCCCAAAGAAAT